GAGGTTGCCAACCCTAAGCCCTAAACCCTTAAGCTTCCCACACTGACGGACTTTGAGCTTGTGCCCTTAAGGCTGTAAGGTTGGTATCGCTGGGTTTTGGGTTTAGGGTTTTGGGGTTTAGGGTTTAGGGTTGGTATCGTTGGGTTTCGGGTCCCAAATACTCCTGGGAACGTATTCTATAAAGATAATACTCGAAAATATTCCCGGACTCCCTACCAAACCCTAGTAGGTAAACCCGATCGTCTGTGTTGAGAGGTCATCCCAATACCTGAACATTTACTTGGTGTTGTTTCTTGTTGCAGGCTAGGTAAAGGGTTAAGGTTACAGGGTATGGGGTTTCAGTTTCAGGGTTTAGTGTGTAATTCCCTCCCCATCTCATGACCCCACCTCACTAACAAGCAAATTTCCGCGCGTTGTTTTTAGGGGAGGGATTGCTGCAGTTAAACTGCATCATGTTCCTTTGGCCAAGGCATCACTTGGTCAGCCTGGCAACATCATACAGCCTTGCACCCTATTCCCCAGTTCACACCCAGATGCTTCGCGGTTTTCAGGGTTCTGTTCCCAGAGCGTTTACTAGCAAATCATTAAAGACAATGTCTGGAGGTAGTAGGTGATTTGATTGCGTGAGAGGTTCTAGACGAACATGAGGTGCCTTACAGCAAGTCGCTTCTGTATGACGATGAGCACCAGGAGCGCGTAGCTGTAGTCTCAAAGCTTTTCGTGCTAAGCTGAAGCGATTCGGAGCCAAAGGCCCCAATATACATTGAATATGACATTAAATGATCCTATTGGTAGTCTTTCTAACATGATTTAAGGCAGATTCCTCAATTAAGGGGATTGGGCTCCCTGGAGAGGAGTACGTGTCCAAGTACCCGGACCAGTTCCGCTACGACTATGCCATCAGCCGAGAGCAGAAGAACGCCGCGGGCCAGAAGATGTACATCCAAACGAAGATGGCTGAGCAGCCCGGCTTAAGGGTCTAGAGTTTAGGGGCTCGTCGTTTTTTCGACCCTACCTGTGGTCGTGCAGGATTTTTGTCCAACAACAGGAGTATATGGCAAGGTTGAAGCTTGAGGTGTGAGGCTAGCACTCAAGTTGATGCAGGTTAATCCCCTCCCAGGGCTTAGGGTTTATAGTCCCCCTTGAGTAGGTAGAATATGGGGTATATGGGGATATTGTTAGAATATATCCAAAGCCATATTCTATCCACTTAAGAGAGAGACTATAGGGTTTAGGGTTTAGGGCCAAAGAACTAAAGCCCAACCCCTCTAACCATGAATATTGCCAGCATCCTACAATGCACCAGAATATTAAGAGTATTTGGTCATGAAAGCCCCCCCCACCTACGATATGGGTTTGGTTAGGCCCCCAGTGACTAATAGTGGCATACTAGGAATATACAGAGGCCGTGAAATGATTACAATTGTCTCTTGTGGTCGCTATTTGTTGGTGGGGGCCCAACCTAAGATGTTGTTTTGTAATGTAGACCCCTGAGTAATCAACCCCCGCATTTTCAGGACCTTAATATTTTGATCCCTGTCATAATTCCTATTAAGGGGAAACCCTAAACCTTAAACCCTAAACCCGAAGCCCTAAAGCCTAAACCCTGGACCGGTCTGGATTACCTTTTGGGCCTATGGGGTCGAAGGGTTGGGTACCTTTTCGGGCTTCGTAGTTTAGGGCTTCGAGCTGCTGAGTGGGAACCTGAGGTACTTGTCGAAACCCATTTAGAGCTGCCTTGAGAAGCTACAACCTAATATAAGGGATGCTGTGGCAGGCTGCAAATCATTGTTCAGATGAATCCAATAAGTAAATAGATAAATGTAAGTAGAAATAAATGAGTATATATACATATATAAGGTTCATGGGGCTTGGAATTGCATATGTCAAGCCCAAGGCCATTGAAGCCTTGCTCTTAGATCCTTTAGAGTGGCATTGAAGCTGGATGATTTCGTAGAGTTGCAGAAGCATCATCTACCTCGACATCGCCTAGCTCATATTTGCAGCTTGTTGCTCCAAATCACGTCTTAGCAAGGCTATTCTGGTGCCGGACTGTTCTTTTTTCCTGATACTGGAGCCTTAAGCCACCAAGATCTAACAAACCCGAAAAGGCACCTGATTCCTTCTCAACCCCTCAGCACGAAGCCCCAAACGTACCTAACCCCCCCCCAAACCCTAAACCCTAAACCCTAAACCCTTATCCCGACCCTTATCCCAATGGGCTAAAAAGGTACGCCGAGGAGCTGTGGGAGCTTATGCAGGACGAGAAGACGCACATCTACATGCGCCTCGGTTGGTTTTTTAGAGGTTAGGATTTAGGGTTTAGGATTTAGGGTTTAGGGTTTAGGGTTTAGGATTTAGGGTTTAGGGTTTAGGATTTAGGCTTCGGGGTTTAGGATTTAGGGTTTGGGATTTAGGATTTAGGGTTTAAGATTTAGGGTTTAGGATTTATGGTTTAGGGTTTAGGGTCTAGGGGCGGTTCAGCGGGAATATACCGGACCTCCTAATGGATCCCAAAAATGGATTTTCTCAAGATGACCCGATCTAGCGGAAAGTAGGGGCGCATTGGGATATTCTATTTGGTAAGTCGTTTAGGAGGTAATAGAGACAAATGGAGAATCAAACGGAAAATGGATTGGAAACTGGGATTGCATGTATTAGGGGTAATGATTAGCTGCCTGAGTCCCCTAATCGGATTATAACAGATAACCAGCTTTTCGTCGGTTAGAACCTCTACGTAATGCCAAAAGACGTTAGAGCCCAACTTCAAAACGAAACCTGCATACCCCTCACCACACTACTGTAACAAGAAAACCTACCTTCCTTCAAACCCTTAACCCTTCTTTCAAGCTAGGCTCACCTCGGGGTTCTGTGATTCGATGCGCTCTCCCCACCACCCCCTAATAGTTAATGACTATTCCCAAGATAGTACCATTGGGGGAACTATCCGTTGTTATCGGGGGTGGGGGGTTCATTGGGAAGGGGATTACAGTATCTATCTAACCCTAAACCCTACACCCCTCGACCCCCCAACCCGAGGTTAACGGATGTTCCCAGTAGGAGGAGGAGAAGGTTTCGAGAACTGAGAGCCCAGGGAGCGTAACACACCTAAAGCTAAACTGTTTGGAATCTCCTTGCCCTATCTCAGTTAGATCCCCAGGACCCTGAAATAGCACAAGCGCCCTAAGAAGCGTTGCATGTCGGTTAGAATGCACCCCTTTGAATGAGAGTCCTTCTTGGGGTGTGTCCTTTTTGGGCGCCCCTAGGATGCTAAGGGGATTCCAGTGACCCAACCCCCCTAAAATTAGATGTAAAATTCGGTCTCTAGTATAGTCATCTGATAGTTATAGGGTCCTTCTGGTACAGGAATCTACCCTAGTGTCGGAGAGGTGCGGCTTAAAGGGAATGGAGAGTGGTATGGCCGAGTGCTTCACGCCCATCGCTGAGAAGTACGGCAAGGCCCTTAAGGGTCAGGGATTCGGGTTTTATGGTTTAGCGCTGAGGCGTTCAGGTTGAGGCGGGGTAAGATTGGATTGGAAAAAAGAGTGTAGGGTACTAATAATGGAGAATCACATGCAAAACAACACGATGAATGAAATGAAAGGGAGGTTTGTATAGGGTTTATAGGGGATTATGACCAATATTCTGATCCTGGATTCCTTGTACGTTTCTACTATGGCGTGCCTCAAATAGACCTCGATAGAACATCAGTGGATTTGTAGGGCCGTATGGTAAGGTCAAAGGTGCCATAAACCTTAAACCCTAAGCCCCAAACCCTAGAACAAGGGTTCAGTCTTTCAGGGCCAAAGTCTAGCAGCGGCTAGGGTGGGGGTCAGGGTTGATGATCCTGGTTGCTGTTAAGGAACTTAAACTAAGTTGCTTTCCTAGGGGTACATAGCAAAGAATAGGGTTTCCTTATTGTCGTAACTTGATTTAAGACGTTGCATGGGTCAGCTCGGGGAGGGTCTGCGGCCGAAGGGGCTAGGGTGTAGAACCAACCAGCTTCAAAACTGTTGTAATTGGATGAGCCGTTTTTGGGGGCCTTTATATGGCATATAGGGGCTTGAAGGGCCTCCTGAAAGGGCGTCTCCACATTTCAT